AAGAAAACTGACTTGTTCAAGGTCACAGGTTGACCAAATGGTACAGCCTGGATGGATTTCGTTCTTCTGTCTTAATGGAAGATGATCTTTGGTGGTCGATGCCTGTTACATCTTACTGCTAAGAGCATGTTGCTTATCCTTTCGACTTTTTAGCCTGGGAACGCACGGGAACGCTCTGACTTACAGGTTGCACCTTCATCCAGCTGCCCCTCCTTAGAGAGATTTGGTGGTTGTGTCAAGGCTGTAGGGTGGAAAAAGCAGACAAGGTCCTTTGCATCCTTCCGATGCAAATCTGTTGGATGGATTCGAATATCCTAGCTGCTTCCATCTCTGAGCCTTGGCTGGTGCTCAGTGTTGGGAACCCTCAACAGAAATCAAAGCGCCACGACGGTTTATTTTGAAAGTATCTTGAAAAGGATAATGTTTGACCACTCTCCTCCATGCCTTTACCTCTATGTACTGTGTGTAATGATCCAGAGACAATCAATTGGACACTGCGTTTTAAAGATAAGGATGGGATTTTACTTCTGGGTAACCTGGTGACCCCAATCAATCTCTGTCTCCCAAGCCCTCTGAAGATCTGATGCTCTACTCTGCAATTAAGGGCAGCTTCCAAGGATGGCAACAGATGTCGCAATCCAAACACCTTTATTAACTATTTATCTTCAGATGGGTATCAAGGACCTCTTGGCCAACAGCAGTAGTGGACAGCTCCTTAAATGAGAAGCGCCCAGCTTTAATCTTTAAGCCATTTCCCTCTGTAATCCCTTCGAGAAGGAATAAAACAGGGGACAATATTCAGCTCCTTTAAAAATTTGTCTTTGAAAAGAAAAGCAGATGCTGTCTACCCAGTGAAAATGCGGCTGAGAAGTTGCATACCCCCGTCATAAAAAGCATCAGATGGCATTTTGGGTAGGCAGTTGACAAAAGTGGTGATTTCAGTGTTCAACTTCCTTTTTTCCCTTTCTTCTTCTTCTCTTTCTTTCTTTCTTTCTTTTTTTTTGAAATGAAATTTGCTAATTATATTTCATTTGCCAGACTTTAGCCTTGTTCAAACCAGAGCTTTGAGACTATAGGGAATAATCCTTGCCACCTACCTGCTTTCCAAGAATGTCAGGAGGATTATAAATGACTCTGGGGTAATGGAAGCCCTGGGAAGGAAAGACAAGGCCAAAATGTTTTTAAGCAGGACTCCGCGTAATCCTCCGTAATTGAACTCATCAAGGCTTTGTTCAGCAGACCGGCTCTTGTCTGCAGTGTGGTGAGGTTATTCCACGGAAGGAAAATAAACTGTTGTGGGGTCAAGGGGGAGGTGTCCTCCTCCCTTGGTTTAACTCACTGACCCAACTGCCTAAATGTCTCACACAGGTAGGTGGAATGAGCAGGCAGGCCTTCGCTTCAAGTACAGGACGCTTCACGGGGGTTGGGAGGAGGGGCTGGTAAACTGTCAGCCTGCCAGTGTCTTCCCTGCCATTTCTCTTCATAAACTTGGCAGAACTCAGATATTTTAGCCTCAGTTGGCTAAGAACGTTATCTATTTTACCTCTGATTTTCCTTCCCATGTAGCCCAGGGCCAAGTAGGGTAAAAACGACCCTAAATACTGGGCTCACTACTTAGCAAGACCTTGAGTTGGGGACACCTCTGTGTGGTTGGTTGTTGTCCCTTGTCACCATGACACCTTCCTTGCTGTCCCGGCACTGAGCCTCAGACCAAGAATCACAACAGAAGCAGGGAAATCGTGAATTCAGAGCCATCCTGGGTTACTTAGTGACGTCAAGATCAGATTGATCTACACAATAAGACTCCGGCTTAAAAAACAAACAAACAAACAAACAAACAAACAAACAAACAAACCAAAAACCCAAGTGTTGAGGGTGTAGTTCGGTGGTAGAACACTACTAGCCTTGCCTAGACAAGGCCCCGAGTTCAATTCCCAGAGTCTCCTTCCTCCAAAGAATTGAAGAGTGGAGATTGTGAGTAAGGGAGGGTATGCACGTTTCTGAGGGATTGGAGCTAAAAGTCAGCCTATGGAAATGTGTCTAAATTACTTCATCACTTTATTATCCTAGCAAACAGAAGAGTTCTTTGAATGCCTGGCCAAGGAAAGCTCTATACAACTATGTTTAATAAAGTGTTACTTAAATTGAGTTTTCTTTTTTTCTTTTTCTTTTTTGGGGTGTGTGTGTGTGTGTGTATTTGTTTTTTTTTTTTTTTTTTTTTTGAGACAAGATCTCACTATGTAGCCCTACATGCCCTATAAATCACTATGTAGACTATACTGTCTTCAAACTCATAGAGATCCTCCTGCCTCTGCCTCCCCAAGTGCTGAGATTAAAGGCATGCACCACCATGCCCAGCTCTTCCATGTGCTTCCTGATTTCCAAATGAAACTGTGTGAAATTCTTATGTTTATAAACAGACTTGGGGTGCTACAAAATTAGTATCAATTAATCTTTAAATTTGATGCATCCCAACTTCTAGTAATGAACAAATTCTGACCAAAACCCGAAAGAGGAATAAATTATCTTTGCGTTACTTCAGTTAAAAATAGTATAACAAAATCATTGGTATATGAAGAAGCAATCAAAAAGTGATTAAAAAAATGTAGGTTAAAAAAGTGTTATGGAGGGGGCGGGGTTTCCAAGAGCCAGAGGTGAGGAAAAACTATTTCAAAACAAAGTCTTCTGTGTACCAATGTGACAGGACACAGCAATGCACTCATGAACTCACCCTGGCTATGGCTGCCCTCACAAGACCTGCACAAGACTGGGCCTGCCAGAATTTCATCATGGAAGAAGAGAAAGGCTCCCGAAGCCCCGCCCCTCCCTGAGAGACTAGTGACAGCTCATGGCGGTGGCAGGTGGCATGGGGTGTTGCTTTCTTCTCTGGTCTGACCACTGATAAGCTGCTGGTACTCTGTAAATAACCTCGGACCCAAGCTCATGCAGAGAGACCTTATTAAGCTCAGTGGGTGACGCACAAAAAAAAAAGGTAGGGAAGTAGAGGTGTATTTGGTGGGAAGGAGGGCGTAAATGTGAGGAGGAGGAGGGGTGAGAGAGGTTAAAATTAATTGAATACAGGTAGGAAACGGTCAAAGAATTAAAAAGTGAATTTAAAAAACTAAGCATAAAAATTTAAAAAGTATTTTTCTTCCAAAATAATTAAGAAAATGATGCTTCTAAAATCTTCAAATGTTTGTAGCCCTTGTGAATTGTGTAAAAACTTATCTTTGTACCTCGTTCTCTCTCTCTCTCTCTCTCTCTCTCTCTCTCTCTCTCTCTCTCTCTCTCTCTCTCACAGCCTGGGCTCTTCTGGAACTCACTTTGTAGACCAGGCTGGCCTCCAACTCACATGAGAAAATGAGATCCACCTCATTTTCTCTTTGTAATTATTTTATATGTCCCTCCCCTAATTTAGATGAGCCCCCGGGATGGGGGTGGGAGTAGATGGCGTCAGGCTGGAGTCCAATCCTTCATCAAAGTTTGTTTGATTCCAGGGGTGGGGGTGCAGGGCGGGGGGCCTTGTCTTCCTCCCTTCCCTACTCTCCAAGTGTAAGGAAGCGAAGGCGTTGTAGTTTTCTGCCTATGATTGGGCAGCCTGAAGATGGAAGAAACTGGCCCTGAAGGAAATGAGAAAAGAAGCCATACCGACATCTGGGGCTTTCTATGAACTGCCACATTGCCCACTTAAGCCCCAAGATAAAAATAAATGAATGAATGAATGAATGAATGAATGAATGAATGAATGAATAAATGAATGAATGAATGAATAAACATCCCACAGCAAGAGTATTCACGGCATCTTGGGGGAACAGGCAGAGTCACAAGTCAGAGGGAGGGAGACCTTCATAAGGGAGTTTACCTCCGCACTTAGGAATGTTTGAGTCCCATGACCTGGAAGGGATTTTAAATCTATCCTATGTGCTGTGGTGTGGAATGAGTTCTGAGAAACGATTGCGGCCAACTCGGGGGGTGGGGTGGGGGGGCGTGTCCCAGAGCGGAGGCCAGGGCACAAGGTACCCATAATCCTTTGCAGTATTAGACATGAAGTGCAGGACACCTTGCAAGATGGTGCGGATTGGGAAGAGTGAGCTGGACACCGTGAGCAGAAAAGGCAGGCAGAGAGAACAGCGCCCTCCAGAGGAAGAGCAGGGAACGGTCTGCCTGAACTGCCAGGCGATGGCTCGGAGGGCTGGGTCGCTCTCCGAAAAGTCACTTGGCATCCCTGAGATGTAAGGTGGGGATGGTGACCTCCCCCATCGGGTAGAGGGCCTGATAGGAGGGCGCTTGCGTCTGACTTTAGAGGCACGTCCTGTACGATAGCTCTTGCCACTTGAATGCAATTTTTAAAAAATACTGGTGTGGTAAAAGAAGTCTGGGTTCGCAGTACCTGAGAACCTGAGGCAGGAGCAGGCCAGCCTGGATATACAGTGAGATTTAGGTGAGCCTGTGATACACAAGGAGACCTTGTCAAGAAATCAAAAGCAGGGACTGAGGAGCTGGCCCAGCAAGTAAGGGTGCTTTCCACCAAGCCTGACGACCAGAGCTTTGATCACAGGGTCCCACATATTCGAAGGAGAGAGCTAGTTGCCCCTCTGCATGTGTGGTGCACAAACACACTGAATAAATGTAAGAAAACAAAACCAAATGAAAAAAATCAGTGAGGCTAGTATGTAAGAACATGGTGGGTCAGGAACTAACTAGAGCTGAAGAGCCCGGAATGCCACAATGAGGGGTCACAGTGGAAGGACCGCTGTAGTCTGTGCAGGAAGACGTCCCCAGACTGCCCCGGTTGTGAACGTCCCCTAGAAGTGCTTGTTGAAAATAACATTCTCCAGCCCCTACACCAGCGTGGGGCCCAGGGGCCTGGATTTTAGTAAAAGTCTCAGGATCTTCTTTTTCAGTTGGTACTACTTCAAAATTATTTTATTTATTTATTCATTCATTCATTCATTCATTCATTCATTCATTCATTTATTCATTTATTTATTTATTTTTATCTTGGGGCTTAAGTGGGCATCGTCTACCACTGCCAAACGATGGTTGGACCCATCTGCCGAAACCACTCTGTGCCTAGTGTTCCTCAGTTCTCTTCCTGAAGTCAGCCATGGCAAAGCAACTTGGACTGCGAATGGGTAGAAGGAGAAAAGATGTGGCCCGGGATGAAGGGGACCTTCCAGAAGTTTGACAGCCTTCCTCAGGTAAGGCTGTGCAAGGTGGTGGCCTGAACTGGCCTTCTTACCCCAGGCCTCCACCAGCTCCCATCACTGTGTGACCTTGGGTGACTCATGGTTCTTTTTTTTTTCCCCCCATTTTTTTGAGACAGGGTTTCTCTGTGTAGCTTTGGAGCCTGTCCTGGATCTTACTCTGTAGCCCAGGCTGGCCTTGGAACTCACAGAGATCCATCTGCCTCTGCCTCCTGAGTGCTAGGATTAAAGGCCTGCGCCGCCGCCGCCGCCGCCGCCGCCGCCGCCGCCGCCGCCTGGCAACTCATGGTTTTTATGTGAGCTGCAACTCCCTCCGGCAGAGAGAGAGATAGAGTCAGAGACAGACAGAGAGAGAGAGAGAGAGAGAGAGAGAGAGAGAGACAGACACACATAGAGACAGAGAGACACACACAGGGACAGAGACAGAAAGACACACAGACACACACACACTCACACACAGGAAGGGGGTGGAGAGGGCAGAGGGCCAAGTAGGCAAACTCTAAAGTCCCTTTCAGCTCCAAGTTTATCTGATTATCAAACAGCCCTCATCTTTGCAAAAGGCTTTGCAAAGGCCACAGCCCGGAGACAATTTTTGCAAACTTTGCCTCCAACGCAAGCCTTCAGGGGTTACACAAAGGGCACTGAACACCCCCACATCAAGATAAGAGAAGGAACACCACCAAGAGCCTTTCTCCCTGGCGCTCACATGTACCTCTGCACATGCCCCCTTGGGACTTGGCTGTTTTGCCCTTGTGGTCTCGCGCTGCTTGGTGGGGGGGGGGGGCAGCAGGAAGCAGGGGACAGTTAGATGTTGTGACCCTGCAGCTTCCTGGCACTGAGAGAGTGCTCGGCTGTTTCTTTGCTAGAGACCTGTGAGCCGGATTGCAGAGTTCTGTTCAGAAGCCTCGTGATCGGAAGAAGCAAAGCAAAGAGAGCATGTGTCTAGGAGTTTTTATAAGTCGCTTGCACATCCCAGGACTCTTTCTCCACCTTAAACAGTATGCTTCCCTGGAGGAAGGTACCTCTGCTTTATAGCTGGTATTGAATTCCATGCCATAATTTTTATTGCATCCCTCCTCACCAAATTATAGGATAATCTAATTTTTTTTTAAAAAAAATCCTTTTTTACAAAAAAAAAATTATTTTATGTGTATGTGTATTTTGCCTAAATGCCTGTCTGGTACCCGAGGAGGCTAGAAGAGGATGTTGGAAATGGAGTTACAGATGATTGTGAGCTGTCACGTGGGTGCTGGGAACTGAACCCAGGTTCTCTGAGAAAGCAGCCAGGGCTGTTAATCACTGAGCCACCTCTCCAGCCCCAGGCTAGTCTAACAATTTAGAATTAATTTAAGAAGTAATAATTTGGAGACAGATGTGGTGGCACATGCTTTAATCCCAGCAGAGGCAGAGGCTAGACTGGCATATAGAGAGAAGTCCAGGCCAACCAGGGCCACATAATTGGGGGGGGCTGCCCCCACTTTCTCCCCCAGGGTATTCTTGAGTGGGGAGAAGTAGAAATATGTAGATAGAAGTATAGTGGAGAGAGACAGACAGAAACACAGGATAGCCTTGGGAGGGCCTGGGTCAAAACCCACCAGCCCCTTCTGACTCTACTAAAGGGCTTTTAAAGGAATGCCAAGGGGTGGAGCAAAAGACACCCCCAGCACAGCCAAGTGCAGACCATCCCAGACACCTGATAACCACAAATGTGGTCCAGCCATCCCTTAATGCAGCCCTGCTGTGTAAAGCAAGCTCAGCTCTCACTAGAAAACCTTTGTGGGCTCCCACACACAGAGACCCTGCCTCCATAAACAAGCTAACCAATAAAAAAAAAATAAATATGAATTTACAGAAACAAGGAAAAGAAAGAAAAGTTTGTTTCATTCTAAGAAGAAGTCATGTTTCTACGCACCATATTTCTGTGACTGTATACTTGTGACTCACACTGTGGTCATAGTGACCTCATCCTGGGCCTTCACCCTTGTGCTCACACGTGCCTCCACACACAGCCCATAACCACCTGGTCCAGCCTCAGCTAGCTCCTTACCGGTTAACCTGAGTGCATGGCGTGTGCTCGGTCTCAAGATCCACAGCCGTTCCTCGGGGGCCACATTTAGGCTGCCGGCCTGCTGGCTGGTTGGCTGGCTGACTTCTAGGGATGTGGAGACTTGATTTATAGAGAGGACAATGCAAACTCTCAGGAAAGCACAGCACTCCCGGGGGTGTAAGGACAGGGGCCATGTGCGAGCAGTGGCGGGCG